CCTGCTTCTTATCCCTTTTGTGTCTCCCTATTCCTCACCCCCAGCAGATTTTTCACTGAGGAATTTAATTATAATTTGGTTAACAAATGCATTTCCTTTATGAAGGGCACTTTGAAAAGTACTGGGTAAGCACGTAGATTTGGACATACTACATTTATCATAGAGCGTTTGCTGTGGAATAAATACAATAAGAAAAATGGCCACATTTTACACAAGCTATTTTACATGTTTGTGAGTTGAAAAGATTGTTATATTTTAATTCTTTTTTAAAATCAGCATGGACCTGGGCTAGCAGTCGTGAATGGAAACAAGAAAGCTAATTTATTGTGTTCTCACTATGTGGTGGGTCTTGTAGCATTTTAATATAACTAATATATATATATATATATATATATATATATATATATATATAGTATAGCTAAACATGGGCTTTGAACCTGCTGCGTCTATTGTTGAATGAAGTTTCAGGCATCTAGCCTCATGTCCTTGTGACAGCGAGCACTTAGGGAGGGCTCTTTCTGCATTTTATACTATGAAATAGATAATATGTCCTCTTCCAGAGGAGGAGACTGGTTCAAAGTCATCTGGTGACTAGGAAGTTCAGAGTGGAGGCTAGAGATAGAACCAGGACTCACTTGACTGTCTAAAAGAACCTCTACCTGTAATGAGGCTTTCTTTGTACCACCAATCCCCAAATGACATGGAGACTTATGACTAATTATGAATGTTTGACCTTTAGCTTAGGCTTGTTATACTTGTTATCCTAACTCATATAACTTAATTAACCTATGGTTTTTAAACCTACATTCTGCCACATGACTGTTTACCTTTCCCCAGTACAGCATGCCCCACCCGCTCTGAGTCTCCTGGCAAAATCCGAGCACCTAGATTCCTCCCAGTTTCTCTCTCTGCCTGGAAGTCCTGCCTATCCTCTCCTGTCTAGCTATTGGCTGTTCAACTTTTTATTAAACCAACCAGAAGACGCCTTAGACAGAGATACAGCATTACAGTGTACAAAAAGATTTTCTCACAACATTTTCCCCTTTTTTATCTAAATAAAAAGAAAGGGTTTTCACTCCAACACAACAAATCTATATAAAATAAGAACAATTATCAGGTAAGAATTATATTTACAATGTCCAGTCCATTTGTATTTGGCAATTTTGAAGAAAATATTCTGTTATCTATCCTATCTTGGCCAGTCCAAAGTTTTGTACCTAATTCACTTTCCACCATAACTTGTATTACCATCCTAAAAATATCTTTTTCTACCATAACTTGTATTGCCATCCTAAAAATATCTTTTTAGACCTTAGAACATTTTCTTAGATAAACAACTTATGCTTTTATATCTCTCAACATTATACACCTCACATCTGTTTGGTATGCTTCTTTTTTTGGAATTTGGTAACAAAAAATGGTATAACTGTCTAGTCTTCAACCCCATCACAGACCTGAGAATGTTAAAATATTACCTGAGTAACAGTAAGTGCAGAGTTAATAACATCCCAAGCTATGGAAATGACAGGGACAGCTGACTACCTAGACAGTCACCCAAGGGTCCTCTGCAATGTTGGGACATCCATTTTTGGCCTACAGGCCTAGAATATCTGGCAGACTTTGCTCTGAAGCAGGAAATTTGAAGGATTGGCCTACCTTGTCTTGGCAGTTGCCTTCTTTTGTGTCCTACTCTTCCCATTTGGACACGATACTGTCAGCAGTCACGGCAAAGGGCAGGTTCTTGCCTAGCAGCTAACTTTGCCACAAAGAAAGCTGTTTTTGCTCTCATGTTCTACTCTTTTATTCTTTTGGGGGCCTACCACCCAGCTCCCAAATAAATCACATATGGAGGATTATTTTGAATGCCTGGCCTTAGCTTTGCTTGTTTCTTGCCAGCTTTTCTTAAACTTAAATTATCCCAACTTCCTTTTACCTCTGACCTTTTTTCTTTTCTTACTTCTGTATATCTTACTTTTACTCTTACTCCATGGCTGGCTGGCTGTGTGGGTGTCTGGGTGTCTGGGTGAATGGGTGACTGGGTGACTGGGTGGCTGGGTGACTGGGTGTCTGGGTGACTGGGTGACTGGATGACTGGGAGGCTGAGTGACTGGGAGGCTGGGTGACTGGGTGGCTGGGTGACTGGCTCCTGGTGTCCTCCTTCCCTTGTTCTCTCATTGCTCCTTCTCCTCGTTTCTCCTTCTATTTATACTCTCTGCCTGCCAGCCCCACCTATGCTTGCTCCTGCCTCGCTATTGGCCATTCAGCTCTTTACTAGAACATCAGATATTTTAGACAGGCAAAGAATCACAGCTTCACAGAGTTAAATAAATGCAACACAAACTAAAGTCATGTATCTGAAATAATATTCTCTAACAGAAAACAAACTCCATAAGGAGGTTCTTTGGTACGTGTGTCTCACTATCATGAAAACTTTATGCTATTAAAACATCTTAAATATCACATTCTGTAGATCTCTGAAGTGTTTGAAGACCACCTCTCTAAAATATATGAGGCTAAATAGAGCTTATTTCTGTTTCCATCTAACACTAGAAGTTTGATTGTTACCTTAATTATCCTAAATAGTGTGCAATAATAGCTTTCAAGGACTAGAACTTTACATTCCATTGCTAAATGAGCTGAATAGGTACAATACCTCAAACAAGTAGAAACATATATACAATATAACAAAAATGACCTTAAATTTGTATTAATATATAAAACTCCAACAAAAAATATTTAACATATTTTAGATTAATAGTTATTTTTTAGTTTTAAAGTAAATTCAATCTACCCTCTTATCCTTTTTTTTGGTTTTTCAAGACAGGATTTCTCTGTAGCTTTGGAGCCTGTCCTGATACTAACTCTTATAGACCAGGCTGGCCTAGAATTCATAGAGATCCGCCTGCCTCTGCCTTTCAAGTGTTATGATTAAAAGTGTGTGCCACTATGGCTCAGCTATCCTATTATTCTTTTGTCTCTTCTATTTTCTAATTCAGAAAGAGATTCCTGAATCTAACCTCCTTTGTTAAGGTTTTTCCCTGACCATGACCAGTTACATCTTATAACCAACCCCTCCTAAATGTTAAAATTTATTCATAACCCACTGAATGACACAAATCCACACACCCCACCTTTTGGGAATGTGGACATTGTGTTCTCTAGACTGCTAGCTGTTGTCTGAGGGTGACAGAATCATTAGGGGACCCTGAGAAAACTGGGATAATGGTCAAGTCCTAGAAAAGCTAGCTGTATTATTTTTTTGTTTAGTCTCTGTGTGATGGGAAAGTATAGAGCTCATCTGAAGTCCTGGCTCAATAGTCTGTGAAGCTGGACCATCTCATCTAGCAATTTTGAAGTTGTATTGGATGCGGAATTTTGAGCCACTGCAACTGAGGCATTCTGAGAGGCTGGGTCACCTGAGCTCCTTGTCTTTATTGGTATCTGGTTCATTTTTTTCCCCGAAAACACACAAAGTTTTAAAGGTAACATATATATTGTATAAACACAAGTATGGAATGTGTGGTGTGCACAAGTCAGCTGAAGATGATTTTCTGCTTTATATTTGAGCAGATAAAGGCATTTTTCCACTTTATAAGTCTGTTTTGAGTATATAAATAAACTGTAATGTAAATCTCCATTCATGTCATATGAAACGATGGCATGTAATAAGTCATGAGGATTCTGTAGCCAACAAGATTTACCATGTCTCATCCAGTCTCAGAGCTGTTCCCATATTGAGGGATCAGCATATGCATGACCTGTCCTGAAATCTTTCCTGACTTTTCCCTCATATCTATAGCCAAGATTCTCAGGAGGTCTCCCCTGGACAAACAGGACATCAATTAACTTTGAAGGAATCCATAATTTTTTGTTTCCTATGGAAACAAAAGCACAACCTCTTCCCCAACGCAACACATTTCCTGACTTCCATTCTGAAGCCAAGACATCCCTAAAGTATCTAGGCTGGTTTAATTCAGCAATGCCTTCCACAATCCAATGTCTCTCAGCAACTGCTGTTCTATGTTCATTAGCATTCAAAAATTTCAAAATTAACAAAGCCCAAACTCCCTGTGTTTACAGTATTTTCCATCCTTGCATGGCTTATAGGTTTTTTATATTACTTTAGTCTGCAATCTTCTCTGACTATGTAAGCCAAACCTTAAACTGCTAAGCAGTGGCTAGCCCCTGTGCCATGTGGTTCTGCTTAGCACATGGCCTGCTGGCTGGCTCCGCCCTCTTCAGGTCTGTGCAAGCACAGCCTCACGCCTGCAGTTCCCTGCTGGGAGCTGGTCTATTTGCTTTGGCTATCCTAGGCACTACCACCTAGTCTCCCACCACCAAGTATTGTGCAACACACTGCTCATAAACCCCATTCAAGTGCTTGGCTGTCGGGGCTCTTGAAAGAGCTGTGCCTGTGTATGCCACAAGCACTGAGCCTACTCGGGACTTTTGTTCTTTCTGCTTTTTCTGGTCCTATGTGGACCAGATGACATGCCATGTGTTGGGTGCCATTTGTAGTAAGCTTTTGTGTCGGCCACCAGCTCGACCTCAGTCTGAAATGGCGATCCTGCCTCCAGAAATCTCACAATGAGACTGTGTCTGAGAGCTGTCTCCTCCCATCTTATATTCCTCTCTAGGGCTGGGATTAAAGGTGTGTACCTCTGGGATTAAAGGTATGCACCACCTGGTTTCTATGACAATTAGTGTGGCTACTGGGATTAAAGGTGTGTGTCATCACTGCTTGGTCTGTGAGGCTGGCCAGTGGGCTCTTTCACTCTCTGATCCTTAGGCAAGCTTCATGTATTAAAATACAAACGAAATGCCAGTGTGTGTTACTTTCCACCTAAGGCAGATGCCTGGCTACATCTGCAGTAAGGCTGTGTGTGGGCGCTGAACTCCGTGCCTGTGGAAGAACTCACTCTCCCAGGATTCCATTATGACCGTGCTAACGCAAGAAGCTACACTTTACCTCACATAAGCCTTCTGTGCTCTTTCCCCAGGGTTCAGCAGATTCCTATACAAGCAGGCCGTCGGATTCCGATGTCTCTTTGGAAGAGGACCGGGAAGCGATTCGGCAAGAGAGAGAACAGCAAGCAGCTATCCAGCTTGAGAGAGCTAAGGTGACTCCCCCCACCCCCCAATCCCCTTTCTTTTGTTGAAAACTGGCATATTGCCCAACCCCTGTGCTCAGCATCCTACCTCACATCTGCCTTAGGGTTTCTGATAATTACTGACCATACGCCACGTGGGAGGAAAGGGTTCATCAGCTGACAACTCCCTGAGGGAAATCAGCAGGACCTCAGGCAGGGCAGGAACCTGGATGCAGGAACTGAAATGGGAGCGGTGGAGAAATTCTGCTTACCGGCTTGTTCTCTGTGGCCTGCTTAGCCTACTTTCCGATATCAACCAGGACCACCTGCTTGTGGTGTGGGACTTCCCGCAGTGGGCGGATCCCTTCTACATCAATAGTTAGTCAGAAAAAACGCTCCACAGGCTTTGCCTACAGGCTAATTTGGTGGGAGTTTTTTTTTTTTTTTTTTTTTTTTTACAAATGACATTCTCTCTTTTCATTTATTTATTTATTTATTTATTTAAGATTTCTGCCTCCTCCCGACCACCGCCTCCCATTTCCCCCCTTCCCCAATCAAGTCCCCCTCCCTCGTCAGCCCAAAGAGCAATCAGGGTTTCCTGCCCTGTGGGGAGTCCAAGGACCACCCACCTCCATCCAGGTCTAGTAAGGTGAGCATCCAAACTGCCTAGGCTCCCACAAAGCCAGTATGTGCAGTAGGATCAAAACCAAGTGCCATTGTTCTTGAGTTCTCAGTAGTCCTCATTGTCTGCTATGTTCAGCAAGTCCGGTTTTATCCCAGGCTTTTTCAGACCCAGGCCAGCTGGTCTTGGTGAGTTCCCAGTAGAACATCCCCATAGTCTCAGTGTGTGGGTGCACCCCTTGCAGTCCTGAGTTCCTTGCTCGTGCTCTCTCTCCTTCTGCTCTTGATTTGGACCTTGGGATTTCTGTCCGGTGCTCCAATGTGGGTCTCTGTCTCTGTCTCCTTTCATCGCCTGATGAAGGTTAATATTCAGGAGGATGCCTATATGTTTTTCTTTGGATTCACCTTCTTATTTAGCTTCTCTAGGATCACGAATTATAGGCTCAATGTCCTTTATTTATGGCTAGAAACCAATTATGAGTGAGTACATCCCATGTTCCTCTTTTTGGGTCTGGCTTACCTCACTCAGGATAGTGTAAACTTTGCATGCAAATGGACGGAAATAGAAAACACGTTCCCTTTTTTCAAGTGACTCTAGCTTCTGTCAAGTTGTTATAAAACTAGACAGCGTGGTGTTGTCTCTGGAGACTTGCTTCCCAGCCATCCTGATAAGGGTTCAGATTGCAAGGTTCTCTGAGTGTATTCCTTCACACAGGTTAGTGGCAATTGCAGGGGGCTATTTCCTGTGAACCTTTGCTCTTTTCTATTTGACTTACTGGTAATTCTCGGCCATTTCCCAACTTAGCAGTGTGGCAATATCAAACTCACCTCACCCAGTACTGGCAGCGAGCCTTCTGAGCAGCCAGCCGGAGTTCTCTGTCTTTGACCCCTCCCGGTCACTCCCTCATCTTTGTTATACACCGAACAGGCACCGTTGTCCTATGGATCATTTCACGGCTTCCTCTAGTCTTTGATTTCTAGATTTCTGATTCCCATCTCAGTATGAAGTTCAGAACATTACTTTGTTTGCTTGCTTGTTTGAGAAGGGGTCCACTACATCCCCCACTCTGGTCTTGAAATGTGGACTTAATGCATGGCCTTCCGACATGCACCATCAGACCTGGTTTAGAACTTTGAACAAGTCAAATGAGAGCAGCAAAGATGAGCGACACAAGCCTCAGATCCTCTTCCAGTCCACACACAGGGTGCACCAGGAAACCAATTGCATGATGGAGTTTTAGGACCAGATGAGTTAGAAGAGTTCTCCTGTCCTACCTATGTCTTTCTAATTCATTTTTTTAAAGGACAGACCCTTTTTCAAGTTAATTTTATGCACAATAACAGCATAGAAGACAGCGTTCATGGCTAGCCTGTCCTCTTACTCCCACGGCCAGCTCCTATGCTATGGCAGGCACCTTTCTGAATTTTAGACTCAAACCCAAATAAAGTTAATTTCCTTCTTTGTTTATTTTTTTTTTTTCGAGACAGGGTTTCTCTGTGGCTTTGGAGCCTGTCCTGGAACTAGCTCTGTAGACCAGGCTGGTCTCGAACTCACAGAGATCCGCCTGCCTCTGCCTCCCGAGTGCTGGGATTAAAGGCGTGCGCCACCATCGCCCGGCCTTCTTTGTTTATTTTATGATGAGATCTTTTAGAGATCGAAGCAAGAGAAGAATGAGATAGGTGAATGAGGCGTTGGCTTCCACGCTCTCTGTGTCTGTGCTGGCGGCTTCCACACTCTGTCTGTGCCGTCTGTGTGCTCTGAGAGTAGGGCATCTGCGTAGTGCCCGGGAGGGAGCTAAAGCCGGTCTGATGTGGGTCCTACCTCGACTGCTGACATTCCCAGTGCAAATAGATAAGTTACAGCACAGCTGCCCAGAAGCTCGGAGACCGTGTTTCTCACACGTCGCCAGTTCTCGTTTTGAAAAAACCCTTCACCACCGGTTTCGTTACTGTGGGATCACCTCGGTAAGCGGTGGTGGCAGGACCATAGCCTAGGCTTGTGACTGGCTTAGCCCCCACAGACTGCACCTGCTCAGGAACACTTTGCCAATGGGAGTTTATATACAAGCTTTAAAACCAACTGTTAGAAGCTAGGAGATATGACGGGTGAAGAGCCTGCTTGTTAGGCTTAACTCTCATTGGCCCCTTGGGCCTGGCAAGACAAGAGATTCAGCTACAAAAGATCTATGGTTTTCCAATCTGAAGCTCTTTAAAAAAAAAAAAAATCTTGTTTTCTACCCCTCCTCAAGTTTTTAATACCCAGCATACATTTCCTAGCATGTGTAGACCTGTTCGTGTATGTGCGTGTGTGTGTGCGTGTGTGTATGTGTGTACCTATGAGTGTACACATGCATGTTTATGTGCATGTGTGTGCAGGTCAGAGGTTAATGTGTTTTCCTAACCACTCTCCAGCTTAATATTTGAGACAGGGCTCTTACTGAAAGTGGAGTTCACCATCTGGGTAGACTGGCTGGCTAACCTCTGGTTCCTGCCTCTCTAGCTCTGAGATTAAAGATGCACACCCTTGTACCCAGCTTTGTCACAGATGCTGGGGATCTGAATTCAGTACCTTGTTCTTGTGCAGCAAGCACTTCATCCACTGAGCTGACTTCCTAGCGTTTCCCCGTCCCCCAGGGTGCATGTCCCGTATCTCAGTTGGGACAGTCTCTGTTACCGTTTAAATAGATAGTTGGTAAGAGCGGAGAACAAAGCCGACAGCCCCCACCCCTGTCCCTCTGTCCCTAGTCCTGTAGGAGCTAGTTCTATATTGGGGAGGTTGGAAATTGCTACAGAAGAAGGGAAATGGCTGGGCTGTGAGGAATGAGTCATTCCCAGAGTCATCACTGCAGATATCTGGATGTGGCCCATGATTATAAAACCTAGCGGAGATCCCTCTTTGGAAAGTGATTCCCTCATTGTCTGGAACCATCGCTCATCCTGCGACATGTCTCAATATGACAGATGCTCCTCTCTCCTCCTCTCTCCTCCCTCCTCCTTCCGCACTGCTGCCTCCAGTCCAAACCTGTAGCATTTGCCGTGAAAACGAACGTGAGCTACTGCGGCGCCCTGGATGAGGATGTGCCCGTTCCCAGCACAGCCATCTCCTTTGACGCCAAGGACTTTCTTCACATCAAAGAGGTAAATGTAGGACACACTGCACCCCTTCATCTGCCAAAGAGCTACGGCTGGGAATCGGCCTGAGCCAAACACACAGGAGAGGAGACCCAAGGAGCTCCCAGTGTGGGGCCTCAGCTAATGCCCTGGGCCTCTCCGTCATATCACCTCGCTGAGATTTAGAAGCTGAGATCATCACCTGCATTGCCACGCACTTCCAACACGGGGGCTTACTTAGTGTTTGAAATAATGCAGTGGATTTTAGGTTTTGCATCTCTCTCTCTCTCTCTCTCTCTCTCTCTCTCTCTGTTTCTGTCTCTCTGTCTCCGTCTCTCTGTCTCTCTCTGTGTCTGTCTCTCTCTCTCTCTTTCTCTCTCATATGCTACACTGCAGGTACACCTGAAGGACTACAGACCCATGGATCTATGGGTATAACTTAGGAAAGCGTGAGTTTCATAGCATAACAGTATCTAGGAGGGCCTTTTTACAGAGGGGTATTACCATGATAGACACTGTGAACTGTGGTCTTGACATTGTTGAAGTTAAGAAAAGGACAGAGAACTCTAGGAAACAGTGAACAGTGTAAAGGGGACTTGGGACCACACATATAGAAAGGTATGAAAATGAAATCATAACGCCAGAAGCTTGAGTTTGTGGTCAGCCTAGGTAGAGTGGAGTTCTGTTTGGTACCCAGCACTGTGCTCTGCGCTGGAGGATGAGACGGCGATGCTATGGACGAGGAACTCAAGTCGAGAGGCAGGGTGGATAGTATTGACGATTTCTGGATGGAATGATAAATTCTACTATTTTTTTTTAAAGTGGACAGGAAGTTCAGAGAGAGGGAGGGCAGCATCAGTATGGAGGAAGAGTCCAAACTGGGCACAGAGTGGCATCAGGGAAGGGACATCCTGCAGCACTGCAGAATGGCCAGAGGGCAGTAGTGAAACAGAACAGAGTCTAGGTCAGCGATTCAAGAAACATCGCTTTTCTATCAGCCGTGCTGGGGTTGGAATTCAGGCCTTCTGCACACTGGGCAAACGCTACAGCTGAGCTCTTATCTCCCACCCAAAGGGCTGGATTTTAAAAGGAGCATCTTGAGCCAGAGCAAGAAGACTGGTCTTGCCAGTGGGCTGGAAAGTAATTTGGGATAAATCAGACATGTGACCATCCTTGTATGGGGAGTGGGAGCTGTGATGGGCAAAGAATTGGGGGGTCTAATGTGGGGGGGTCTCACTCCACTATGTATAGTGGAGAAAGTGAGGGGGCAGAAATAAGGATGGAGGTTAGCTTCTCAAAGTTACAGGAAATAGCGTCAGCCTCTAGATTCAGCTTTTGAAACAGAAATGGCAGAAAAAGGGCCAGGTGTTGCAGCAATGGACGAGAGGAAGGACTCAGCCTGCTACAGAAAAGTGCCCTTCCTTTGTGTGTGGCCCCTTCGAGCTGCTCTGAGAATTCTTTGATGTGTCTTGCTGATAGCTGTTGGGTCTGTGAGCTGTTGAGCAAGGGATTTTCCTTCCGTCTGGCAGCTCCTATTTCTTCCACAGTGTAGCTACTGATCCGGTCATCGTGTGTGGCTCAGAGCCTCTTGTTTTCAAATCTTGCAGGTCAAATAAAAAACAACATGGAATGAGAATATGCTAATCACTTCAGGGAAAGCAAAACAGGCAAGATTGGAACCGTGCTAAGGGGGCCTTTCTAAAGCTGGCTCAACCCCTGGGATGCCAGCCACATGGAAGGGCACGCTTCTGTAGCAGGCCGAGTCCTTCCTCTTGTGCCGTCTCTCAGGAAGCAGCGCATGTTCTGTTTTCTCAGTAATATAAAAGGTTAAAGGTCAAGAAAAGCCACGGTTGTGCCTGTTCCGAAGCCAAACAGGGAGGGCTGAAGCTGGTGACTTTGCACAGCGCCTGGCTCCCCGATGGCCAGAGAACTGTCACTTGCATGGAGTCAGAAGCTCAGTGTTCTTTATCTGTTTCTGAGAACCACAGTAAACCCTTTTGGGAAGTCGCATTAACATCTTAGGCAGCCCTTCAGGTCACTGGGGTCCCACTTAACAAATTAATGTCCCAGTGGGCTGACTTAATTTCAGGAAATAACTGAAACCCCAGGAAACCCTGACTCATGGTCTGTGCTGTCCCCGCCACAGTAAAATGTACGCACCGAAAGAGTCCAAAAAGGGCCCTCTTGCCTTTTCCTAATTACAAAATAAACAGGCTTGTTATTTCAGGTGTGTTATCCTGAGTTAAAGACAGGAAACTAAGACCCAGATTGTTCGAGGCGTTCTATCACATCAACTCGTGTTCCCTTCAGCTCCGTCTCTTGATTGGCACAAAGCCTGGCTTCTTTCTGCAGGAGCTCTGTGCAGAAAGGGCTGAGTCCTGCCATGTCGCTTGCGTTTGAATATGAGATTGGTACTTAGAACTATTCAAGTTACTCAGAATTTCGTGCTGTGATGATTCAACCCACCTTTCACTCTGCCTTGTCATTGTGTCATTGTTAGAGTTATGTAAATTCCACTTTCCTCTGAGCTAAGAACGCCTCCTAGAGTTGGTATGTGTTGTATAACACGCACACACACCACACACACACACACACCACACACACACACACCACACACACACACACCACACACACACACCACACACACACACACCACACACACACACACACCACACACATACTACACACACATACGCCACACACCACACACACGCACACACACACACACACACACACACACACACACAGAAAAGAGTTTCTCATCAACACTGATAAGGATCACGGAGGGGCCTTTGTACTCTTTCCTGGGAGGTTTAAACAACATGATTTCTATCTATTTTCTAGAAATTACAGTAGGAAGATTTCCTTGAGGCCCCAGCAGACCATTAACTGCCAACCTAGTTTTGCTGGTCCCCTGAGTAAGACCATGCTGACTAGAGTGAACCACAGCCATGCTCTCGAGTGTTTGTGACTATTCTCACAGTAGGGCAGCAGAATCCGTGAGTTATGTATGGCAGAGACCGTATGTACCAGCTGGGCCATTACAAATAAAACCCCTGAAGAATCCTCCTTTAGTCTGTGGGCTGAAAACACTGCCCACAAAATGCAAAAGCAAGGGTGTTGGTTGTCTCTGCACTGTATGTACGATGTGGCATTGCAGACCAGACGAATAGCATTGGAGCCCTCGGCTTCCCTGGAATTAGCTGCTGAAACGTGAGGGTAACTGAATTACTATTGATAGCAGCTTTCCTCTCTGCATTCCAGAAATATAACAACGATTGGTGGATAGGAAGGCTGGTCAAAGAGGGCTGCGAGATTGGCTTCATCCCAAGTCCGCTGCGGCTGGAGAACATACGCATTCAGCAAGAGCAGAAAAGGGGCCGATTTCATGGCGGGTAACATCTGTCTTCTCCATGAGCCGGCCTTCCCTCCCTCCGTCCCTCCGTCCCTCCATCCCTCCCTCCCTCCCTCCATCCCTCCGTCCCTCCCTCCCTCCCTTCTCCCTTCTTTTTCTCCCTCCCTCCCTCTCACCCTATTTCATTCCCTCTTTCCCTCCTTCTCTCTATCCCTCCCTCCCCTCTCTTTTCCTCCTTCTTTCCCTCTTTCCCTCCCTCTTTCATTCCCTCTCTCTCTCTCTCCCTCTTTTCCTCCCTCCCTCCTCCCTTTTTCTCCCTTCCTTCCCTCCCTCACTCTCTCTCCCTCCATCTTTCTTCTCTCCCTTTCTCCTTCCTTGCTTCTTTTGTGTGTGTGTGGGGGGGGGGGGGAAATTGGGTAATATTTTCAAGTTTCTCATTAAAAACTGGCTGAAGCAGTTTGTTCTTTTATCTCACCTTCTGTTTTTCACTGGCTTTTCTGTTATCTCAGAAATGTGTTCTTCGAGACTCTCTTTGTCTTCAGACCAATGAAAACCTTCTGCACACAGGCTCTCCTTGAGGAGGACATAAACGTGTCCACTGTGTTCTGAACCCCAGCAACTCAGAAATCCACATAAACTCCACAGTGGAAGCTGCTTCCTGTGGGCTTAGCAATCCCATTTCTGAACCCCAGTTTTCTTCTGGGAGGGTTACCCGGGGCCTCCCTTCTCAGGACAGCTCAGGTAGCAACTGACATGATCGAGAGTTGTGGTTTTGTTGTTTCCCCTGTCAAAACCTCTGTCCAGTGGGCCCAGAAGGTGAAGGTGTGTGGACAGTCCTGGGGACACTTTTCTCTGCTTGGCTTCCTGCGCCATGTTCTTCTGTTGACACCGTGCTGGGGATTTGCAATGCACCAGCCTCTGTGGTCAAAGGAAACAGCACACAGGCTTCAGAATGCAAGGGGCAGGTTGCAGGAGGGTGAGCAGAGCTTAGGAGAAGTCCTGGCTGCACTGGGTCTCACTGGAGCTTCCCGAAGCACTGGTTTCATATGCATTCCACGTTTTCAAAAGTCTTCCAATAGAGCAAGTTCTGCTACTGTTACCATTGCTTTGAGACAGTCTTGCTATGTAGTCTAGGCTTGTCCTTGGTGAGGCAGCTCTGCACCAGCCCCGCACCCTAGTGTGGATCACAACTGTGACCATCCTGTTTAGCTGAAGCAGTTCTTCTGATTCAACCTTGCTTTTCAATTAATTTTTGTATTTAAGAAACCGGTGTGTTATTTAAGTCTTCCTCTCCTGCTATCCTAATGAAAAGCTTTCAGTAGTCATGGCAACTCTTGGAAGCACAGTTCACCTCCCTTCTAATGATTAATCTTCTGTTTAGATGTTTTATTATTAACCCTCTGGTGCCCTTTGCGCTAGACATTTCGTCCTCCATGCTTCTTAGCACAGCTGGCTCTTCCCTGGCGCCTTTGCAGCTGCCTCCTCCTACGGGGACCCCTCTTCCTCCTTGGCTGTTACCAGATCGCTCCATCTCTTTCAGGTTCTTGCTACACAGTTCCCGTGAGCCCTTCCTTCCCTGCACTAGTTTAAGTGGTACCCACTCCAGGCTCACCCCTTCCTCACATTTTCCATCTCTTTCCAACTTAACTGTTTCTATTACACTTACTACTCTAGGAAATTAGATATTTACCTCTTTCTCTAGTTTAGCCTTGATTATCTCCTGCTGGAATGTGGCTCACTAACAATCTCCCACCATTGTTGCTGTTATTAATACATGCATATATACATACATACATCTATAAATACACACACACACACACACATAAAGTTTGCTTCGAGGCACAAGAAACAATAAAACCAATGGTTCATTCATAGAGGTTCTTTTGTCATGCTTCTGTCTGTAAGGTATCCATAATGTCTATGTCCATAGACAGGGAAAACCAACACTCAAGATGTATCGCGATGTGTTCCACAGCCAATAAGTGACTGAACTGTTCATCACTGGCCTATGAACATATGTGAATCATGACTGATAGCTCTTACTGTTGGCACTAGGAACAGTTGGTGGACCACTGCCCCTAACCCGCCCCCAGTTAAACTTTTAAAGAGATGTTCTTGGGGTCCTCTTGCTTGTTCTAAACTGTCTAGCCTCTGACTGGTACTTCAATACTTGGTCTTAAGTAAACACATAGCTCAAAGAGCATCCTCACCAGAGGTCCTTCTGCTCAATTTTTGTATGAATAACCGGAAAAGAGAATTTGCAAAGTGTTTCCAGGTCTCGATGAGATCTCCGCTTCCTCTGAGGTCAGAGAAAGCATTAGAGCAGATTCTTGAAGCTCTTCTATCAGGTCTTAGGATGCTTTGAATTATTTAGTAGAAGGCCAAAGAACACCTTGGATTCCCAGTTTCTGTTTTCAGAGGATCTAGGGCAAGAGTCTTAAATTTGTTTCCATGTTCTAGGAAATCGAGTGGAAACTCTTCCTCCAGTCTCGGAGAAATGGTGTCAGGGACGTTTCGAGCGACCCCCACAACAACAGGTGAGCAGTCTTGCTATACCAAGCATTGGAGCACATAAGCCAACATTCTTACTGGTTTGGGAATAAAGGCTTGATTGAAAATGTAAGGCTTCTTTTATTTAAGATTTCCTTGCTCATTTGAATTCTAGTTTGACTTGAAGTGTACTAATGATACAAAAACTCAAGTCATCAGTATAATTTTGAAAAATCTCATTCACCCCCTATACCCACTACTTCTTCATGTATAAACCAACCTCAAGTCCATTATTCTACTCAGGAACTCAAAGTACTTCAAGATTGTGAGGCCCGTAGGTATAAAAGCTCATGGATTGTTACAACAATGTTCTGTATGTACATGAAATTTTAGCCCATGTTGGGACCAGGTCGTACATACTGGGGGGGGCATATAGCCCCCCTGCAGCCAAGATTACCTTGTCTCTATTATTGGGCATTAGGCAGTTCCAGTTGAGTCCCAGAATGGATGCAATGAAGACACAGGGTATCTCAATAAAGCCTCCATGTGTCTTTGGATATAATGAAGGTGTTCTCCTAGAAAGTTCTCTCCCATGGCATTTTCTGACTCCTGAGAGCTAATTTCACTCTTGCCAGGAACTGAGGCTGTATGAGAGCCTCAGATATCGCCAGCTCAGACGGCAGGTCAAGGCTCTGCCATTCATGTCAACGCTGGGTTGATGCTGGGACAGTTCTGGGGACTTGGTCCTTGTCTGTGAGGATTCATGCTGACCTCCAGGACTGAGAACCAACCTGTCCCTCTAGGTGACCCCATGTAGACAGGACCTAATGCTTGGATGACAGCAAAGCCACCTTCATGGGCTGTGGACTAGGTTCTGCCCTCTGTATGTTTGCTGGACACTGGGGCATTACAACAGCTTTTCACTCTTCCAGCTGGAGAAATACCTGAAGATCTGCCATAGTACCTCATGATTCACCAAATGCACAAATATAGAACAATAGCAACAACGATCAATAATGTCTGAGGTGGTAGTAATTTTGCTCACATTGTATTGTTTCTTTTTATTACATTTCCTTTAGACAACTTGCCCTCCACTTCATGTGTGCCACCCATAGTTAATGGTTAGCTAATAATCTCAAGTATTGTTTGAGTTCCTGTGCCAGCCTTTCACAGGAAATTGCAATGCCAGGTCATTGGTGCAGGGAAGAAGCGGTCCATATCTCATGTTCTCACAAGAAGCAATGTCCATGATGAAGTGGCAGGGCAGTGATCTGCTGAGTGGGTGCCAGGCAAGCGCGGAGGACAGTTACAGGGTACCTTCTCCCAGCTTTTAAGCTCATGTGCTGTCATTTGCAGAGATTGCATATTTTGATGTGGTTCTCATTGTTGTCTTTTAGCAAAACAGAAGCAGAAAGTGGTAAGTTGTGTTTCCTTTTCTAAACTCCTGCTAAGGTTCCTATTCCGTACATGCCTGCGATGCTCCATGTCCGTGGCCCACATACCTCTTGAGGGATGGGCCTCCTCGGTGGGGACCCTTAGGCATCACTTACTGTTCAGCCTGAGAATTCTGGATGTTGTGGCTGTCGAGGAGAGAGGCCCGGTCTCACCTTCTCACTCGTATTGACACGTCTTTTTCAGACGGAGCACATCCCTCCCTACGATGTTGTGCCGTCCATGCGCCCGGTGGTGTTAGTGGGGCCATCCCTGAAAGGTTATGAGGTACAAGTTATCCGTTACTCTCCTTTTCTTGACCAAGAACCCTGGGGACCCTCCTTCGGAATCTGACCCCTCCCAGGTCTGTTTACAGATAGGAAGCGGTAGAAGGCAGCGCACAGAAGGTGAAGGCAGGTGGTGGTGGAAAACCAGTAGAAACTAGATTAAACTCTAGAGAGCAATTAGACATTGCTGTGTAATAAAGAGGAGTGAAGGTTGTGTTGCATGACATCTCAGATTTTGCTATTCTCACTTTGTGTTTGAATGGATAAAACAGGTGGGGTGTGATCTCTAAATCTGAAGCAGGGCATCCTTCAGACCAACTGACACCCCCCCCCCCCCAGCTAGTATGATGTCTGGAGGAAAGAGGTATTTAGTAAACACCTGTTGAATGAGCTAAAAACGTTCCTGGGGCAGTTCTAAAATTCTCATCTCTCTTTCTCGCTCTAAGATGGAAACGTCAGGTGATGAGCAGGAAACTTATGTACAAAAAAACTTAAGTCTCAAATAGGGAGAATTCCCAAGACGCTCAGGCTGGGGTAGCTGAGCCCAGAGCTGACACTGAGACCGCCAGCTACCCATCACTAGAGACAAGCATAGTCCCTCCATGTGAAGATGCCCAGCCCTCTTGTGCATAGCCAGTTTCTGGTCTCCTTGGGCAGATGGGCATCCTAAGGGACGTAGGAGGAGGGTTTGTTTGCCTGGGGTCCCGGTGAAAACTATAAATTTGTTCTTCAGCACCTTGGAGAAGAACCATGGGAGACATTAGCAACTATGTTTGATTATCTTGAAAATCAGCCCTGGAGAACATCTGTAGCTGGCCCCTGGAGATGCCTGGATGTGATGGGGTTTCTCCTCAGTCACTGTGCCCTTCCCTTCCACCTCTCTCACCGTTGACTTCTCTCTCTGTCTCTCTCTCCCTTTCTCTCTCTCCATGTGTTTGCCTCATTCTTTTTTTCCTCACCTCTGCGAAGGTAACAGACATGATGCAGAAAGCCCTCTTTGATTTCCTGAAGCACAGGTTTGATGGGAGGTGAGACATATAGATGTTTTTGTATTTTGATTTTTCTTTAACTGTAAAAGTGTGATATATTGATGTGTGGATCTGTTTCCAACGGTTACAGAAGTCCAGTGGTTGAACTGAATTCAGTGTTCCAGGAGAGTGTTCACTGAAACAGCTATGAAAATACGAAGTATTGCATGAGGCCCCCGGGGACAAACAAAAGGAAATTAATCCATTTGTTGGGTGTAATGTATGTTTGTCTTTATTTTCTCGCTTACTAGTGAGTTCATACCGAACTGGTTTTCAGAAATTGGTTGAAAATGTCAATTTCTGATAAATACGATGGCTCACTGATCATGCTGGCTAGTGTCTGAGAATTGCCCGTGTGTGTGATTTGAATGTCTAAATAACAAAGTGCTTTGCAAGCATGAAATGCTGGAAACAACCTTCAGCAAATAAATAAATTTCCTTAAGAGAGAAATGCAATCTTCGCTTTGCCATAGCCTTCCTGAGTGACAACTGAAGGACACTGTATTTATTTGGGTGCTATTTTCAAAAATACAACCTTGTGGTTTTTATAGGTATGTTTTCCATGTACCCCCTATAAGCTATCATCAATATGGCCAAGCCCTCAGACAAGTTTATGTTTCAGTTTTGTGGAAAATATCTAGAATTTCTAGGTCTTCTAGAAAAGTGCTAAAAAAAAATCTGTATTGACTCAACGATGAAAGTGTGATTGTTCACAGTGTGGAGTGTGTTCTGTGTAGAAACAACCACCCAGACAAGCTGAAGATTCATCAGAAGCAAGCTTACATAGAATACATTGAGAAACCCGGGCAATGCATCCAGGTTATCACTTCACACTGAATAATTCATTTTAAAAATGTTTAAATGCTTTTAAATAGATTTTAGAGTTTAATTTTAAGAAAAGGCAAGCACAAATTGTGTGTATATAAAACTTAAGCCCAAGTATCTATAATTTCATACAAGTACTTTTTGGTGTTTATAATTTGTCAAAAGAAAAGCCTTCTGTGTCGTCATATGAAAATAATCACTGGTTTCTAAAGCTAGACACAGTGTAAAGAAGCTGAGGGGATGGGGAAATAGCGCAGAGAGTAAGAGTGCTTGTTGTACGTACAAACATAAATCGCCGAGTTCAAATACCCAGCACTCACATGAAGCATAGCGTTGCCTCTCCCTTAGTGCTGTGTAGAGACGAGAGCATCACTAGGGCTTGCTGGCTTCCGGTTTCTGAAAGGCATTGTCTCAAATGAATGCAGTGGAGAGGGATAGAGCAGGAGTCCTAATGTCTTCCAACGTGGACACCAGCCCCCCCCCCCCACTGAAGACTAGGGAATTCGTGTTCTAAAAATGCATTGCAACAAAACAGCTGAACCTGGACTCTAACTTAACGGTCGTGGTCTAGTCCTGTTCTGTGGTGTTCTGGGTCATAACCCTGACCCACAAGTGCCTCTGGAGGGAAGGCAGCTAACACGAGTGGTCTGTTGTTCTTGTTGCATTTACACAGTTCCTTCAGCTCTGCATAGATCATTGGTTCTAACCCGGGGTGCCTGTTGTGTTAAGGGTGGCGGGCTGTGTCCCGCCACCCGGCTAGCTTTACCCGAAATAATTACACGGAAACTGTATTCTTTTAAACACCGCTTGGCCCATTTCTATCTAGCCTCTTCTAGGCTAATTCTCGCACCTGGACTAGCCCATTTCTAATTATCTGCTGTAGCCCACGAGGTGGCTTACCAGGGAGATTCTAGCCTACATCCATCCTTGGTAGGAGCTTCATCGCGTGTGCCTCAGAGAGCAGAGCTATCCCTGTGTCCGCCCAGGAGAGGGGAGCATGGCGTCTCTCTGAGGCGTCTGCTCCCGAGAGGAGAGCTGTCGAGTCTCTGAGCTCACTTCCTCTTCCTCCCAGCATTCTGTTCTGTTTACTCCTCCCACCTATGTTTTAACCAATAAAATGGGCCAAGGCAGTTTATTTATTGCTTAACCAATGAAATCAACAGATTGATATGACACTCCCACATCAGGTGCCTTCACTGGAAGCTGTCCTGAGCAGTGCCCCCTCCTCGAGTTCCATCACCGTCTTTGATCTGAGCAGATCCTGCCCCGCAGGTCAGCCTACCCTTGTGTTAGGTTGTTCTGTTTCCAGGTGACATTCCTGTGAACAATGTTGCTGAAGGTTGAAAGCACCGATGACAATGAAGAAAGGAACACAGAGGGTTGGGCAAAGGGAAAGAGGAATGGCTGAAAGACAGGCTTCAGGAGAGCAGACTGATGTCTGTAACCCCAAGGCCGTGGAAGATGACGCTCATTGAGTTACAGCACAGAGCTGTCAGGAGTCAAGTAGAATTATCTGTTCCATTCACCGAATCTACACTATTGAAGCTTCTTTCAAGTTAAAGATACAATTAAAATTCCAATGTCAAGTTTTCATGGGGTCTGATGATGGCAGAGAGGCTGGGGGAGGGAGGGGACCCAGTAGCAGCTCAAATACAACTGGAGACAGAGGCAGTCCTGGAGAAGTCGGAAGCGTAGAAGTCCTGGAGAGAAGTAGGTAACAAAGATGGGAGTGGTAGAGGGATGAGCGAGAGTGCTACAGAAAAGCCAAGGGAGCCCACTGGTGAGCAACTGCGGACAGTTGGGTAAGGCTGAAGTTGGCCCGGAGCGTCTCACAGATGCTTACGCGTCTTCTGTGTGGGGAATATTGTGCTTTGAGCTGTGACAATCTGCTGCGTCGTGTTTTTACCAATTAATAAAAGGAGGGAAAACAGCACATAGTCTTTAGCTGAAATTGGCCAAGAGAACAATTACACCGAAGGCTGACTCAGTGGACCAGCAGCAACAGCACCTTCAAATGGAAGCCTGTTCGGGATTTCTTCCACTGTGACTGCGGTAGGGGAGACATCGTCGTCAGGAGAATGGCTCATGCTTTCCAGAAAGATCCAAGAAGAAATCCGTGTGTTGAGAGGCTTTTTAATCCAGTGCTGCTTTTCAGATCCCAATTCAAAATTAATTCGGTGGAGTAGATGAAACCCATCTGTTTGACTTTACCGGAAACAAAAGCTCGGATGGCTTTTCCTTTTGACTCCTTAGAAATAGGAGTCACTTTAGACCTATTCCTTACCCCGTTTGTTTGAGTCTAACTGTTGCACTTGTGTGTGTGTGTGTGGGGGGGGGGGGGAGTAGTACTATGTAGCTCCCGAGGATCTCTCGTATATGTCAGTGTGGGCTTGATTCCTGTCAGTGGATTATGGAACCAGTAAGCCTGGCAGTCTGCTCCAGTGGCATTCAGCCTGCAGGAGACACAGTGGGAACCAAGTGTCTCTATCCATAACACAGACACCCCCCTGGGGGCTGGATGGTCCACCACTGTCTGGCTGTGGAACGGCCTCACCAGCTGCAGTCTGCTGGCTTACACCACACATTTCCAGTCCCCCCCAAAATTAGTCATCTAGGCTTTCAGTTTTTTTTTTTTAATTTCTTTTTATTAGCATAGATTCACGGTACACAGCACTGGGGTTCCTAAAGGCAGCCTTGAGCTTTTCTGACTACCGAGTAGCTCTGTAGCGTCATGTCGTGTCCTATGTGGAGCCTACAGGGATGGGGTGCTAAAATAAGGGGACTCTGGCTCAAGGAATATGTAATCTAAAACAAACAAGCAAAACAAAACAACCCCAAATTGTCAAGTGGAAAAGAATTTGAAAGAGAAGTTAAGCATTCAACTTAGGGAGGTGCTGAAATTTAGAACTGAATTATTAAGGAAAGGAAACAATGTCAGTTGATGACATCACAGAGCAGCCCCACCACGTCAGTATGAAAACTGTTTGCCACAACAGTTCACAAATGGAGAAGAGAAACTTCTACCTCAGAACCAATCTGTCTTTCCTCTCGGCCCCTCCCACGATTCTCTCTTCTAGAGCTGGCCTCAAACACTGCAGATAATAGAACATTTGTGTGCCACCTTGAATGCTTAAATTAATAGATTTGATTACGTCGAATCTTACTGCCTTCCCCAAAGGTTCCTGCTATATATATAAGGCTCACCAACTCTGGGACAAGACAGTCCTTGCCGGTTGACGCTAACTTCTGCAGATAAGATATGACGAAACTTCCTCACGCGTCTCTGGATTTTCAACAGCTGCTTTCCTTGATATTTACACACACACATACACACACACACGCACACACACACAATCACACACGTATATTTGTGTGTGTAGCACCATGACCAAGGCAATATTCATTTATGTATGTGTGTATGTATGTATATATGTATGTGTGTGTGTGTGTGTGTGTGTGTGTGTGTGTATGTATTTTTGAGGCACGGTCTCATTACGTAGCCTTGGATAGCCTGGAAGTAGCTATGTAGACCAGGCTTGTGTCAATCTTCCAGACAACTACCTGCCTCTGTCTCCTTAGTGCAGGGATTGAAGGTGTATACAGCCACATCTAGCCATCTAGGGCAACTTCTATAGAAGGAAGGGTTTATTTGGGGCTTACCCTTCTAGAGGGCTAAGAATCCATTATGACCATGAAGGGAAGCAATGTGACAAGCAGGCATGGTGGCTGGAGCTGGAAGCGGAGAGCTGAGGGCTCACATCTTAAACCATAAGCAGGAAACAGAAAGAGTGGAACCGGGAATGCCATGTGACTTTTGAAACCTCAGAATTGGCCTTGCAGTGATGTACTTCCTCCAGGAAGGTTACACCTCCCAAGCCTCTCCAAGCAGTGACTCCAACTAGGGACCAAGTATTTAAATGTCTGAGAATATGGGGGACATTTAAACCACCATAAATTCTAAGAACAGTCATTTAAGAAATCAGTTTTATGTAGTGCCTTCTTTGCCCTTAGCACTAATACTCTGAGATAGTGAGGACAAATCTATCCCCACTTTATTGATTAGGGGATGGAAGCTCAAAAATGCTATAATTTTGTCCTTGAGCATGGAAATCAAAAGAAAGCTAGAGGGGACCCTGGGGTCTTCCTGTGCCTTCCTTCCTGTTCGTCCTGCTTTGGAACACTGTGCCCGTCAGCACTAGAAATTTAAAAATATGTATTATGCTGATTTGGGCTTCTTACTAATTAGCCAGAATAGAAATAGATCTTCCTGCTGTTACATTAGCAACATGGGAATACTAATTTCTTTTGAATGGGTGTCACAACTGAAAGAACTATCTTCCCATAGAATATCTGTATAGAAAGGCAGATGACGTGGTTCTGCAGATAGAGGCACCTGCCACCAAGCCTGGTGTCCTTAGTTCTATCTCTGGGCCTCACATGGTGAGTGGAGAGAGTGGACTCCTACAAGATGTCCTCTGACCTCCACTAGCACACTGGCACACGCATGCCTACTGCCCCTCCTGTGTAAATGAAAATGTAAAAACAAAAATTCAGAAAACTAATAATGTCACCAACTCAGATGAATTCTAAAGGAGAAACATGTAGACTTGGTGAATTTAGGGACTGCTTTTTGGGTTTTAGGGACGCTAGCTGCTACACCCTGACTTCAGGGGAACTAGACTCCTGCTGCCCAGTAACTGCTGGCACTGCCTAGATGGGGTTGCCAAGGGAACACTTGGGGAATGGTACCAAGATGCATGGCAGATGAGGAAAGCAAAGAATCTGGAGACATACATAGTTTAAAAGCATAATCAATTAGGAGACACTCGATGGTGAGTACAGTCCCTTTGCTGAGGGAGCTTGTACTTCAAAAGAAAGAAATCAAGGTCTTAACCGCTGAGCCATCTCTCCCAAAGGTCCTGAGTTCAATTCCCAGCAACCACATGGTGGCTCACAACCATCTGTAATGAGGTCTGGTGCCCTCTTCTGGCCTGTAGGAATACACGCAGACAGAATATTGTATACATAATAAATAAATAAATATTTAAAAAAAAAAGAAAGAAATCAAGGTCTGGTATCCACCTTTGGTAAAAGTAACCCTTCCGGCAGAAGAAAGCCGTCTCATCTTTACAGACTGACTTCTAGAGCCGGAGTCAGCCCTTTCTGGACTATACTCCATGCGTGTGTATTTTTGCTAACAGACAACATATGCTATCAATGGAGTCTTTTATTGGAAAATAAAACGAGAAAAGGAGCATTTTGCCGCCCTCGGCATTTTTTCTGTTTTTAACATTCAAAGCAGCTTCTTCTGTGTATGTTTAACACTGGTTGTATTTGAATGGCTGTGTGAAAGTGATTTTATAACCCAGGGGAAATGTTTGTTGATGATTTCTTCAAAATTTAAGAACCAGGAATTACTATTTGGCTTATGAAGAGCTAGGAAATTCTGGCACGGCAGAAATAATTTTTCTGGAAAGTTGACTCCTGTCCTTCTTTGAGCCGGCCCACTTGTCTATAGTTCTATACCTGGGTTGTTCTGAAATATGACAGTATGTTTCCATCCAGATGCTCCATTCTTTAACAAACAAGAAGCCCAGAGCCCCAACTAAACAGATCTCGTTCTGTGAGGAAAGATTGCGGCCCAGAAGACACTGCATCTCAGAGCTCCCTGAGCGAGGCATGGCAGCTAACGCCTGTCATCCCAGCGCTCAGGATGCTAAGGCCAAAGGCCTGAGGGCTGCTGCAAGCTTGTGGCCAGCCTGGGCTGCAGAATGAGACTGTCAAGAAAAAGGAGAAGAAGAAGGAGGAGGAAGAGGGGAAAAAAGAAGGAGAAGAAGGAGGAGGAGGAAGAAGAAGGAGAAGAGGAGAAGGAGAAAAGCTGCAGTGGAAAACTCAGACATGGGGCTCTCTTGTTTTAAACCTGGTCTGAACCTGCACCATGCTCTCAGCAGGGCCAGAGTTGTAAGCCTACACCTGGTGGCTTAGCTCATCTTAGAGATTTGTTGTACTGGGAAACAAAAACTGAACTGAAATAGAATTGTCCAGCCACGTAACTAAGCCTCTTCCTGTGTTCAAGGCCTCCCAGACCATCATTGCCTGGAATAGACCAGTGGATTTTCTCTGTGTCTCAGTTTCCTTCTTGGTAAAATATAGAAGTTCTTACACCAGTGTTTTCTGATGTCATCTAGCTGTCGGAGTGTCCTTTTTTGCCTTCACTTTCTTTTTTCTGTTAAAAAAACGATGAATTCATGAGGGAGCCCCATGTAGAGGACAGAAATGTGGAGGGCCACTCGTGTTCGCACTCACAGTGAGTGGTTCCTGGGCTATCTCTGCACAGCACTCACAGTGAGTGGTTCCTGGGCTATCTCTGCACTGCTTTAGAGTCTATGCAAGGTAATTTAAGGCTGCCTCAAACAGTCATCAAGTCATACAGATTCAAAACGTTAAAACATTGCAGTGTTCCAAGCACCTGCAGCTTACAAATGCAGCAGCCCAGGCCAGCCCCAGTTGGCTTCAGCATCCTGCTGGAGCTTCTGCACACCCTGTTGCTCTAAAGACCTTAGGTCCTATAGTGGTACCTATGTTTCTAGTATAAGGGGGCCTGAGACAGGAGGATGATGAAGTCAAAGTTTTCCAGCTACACATAGTAAGACCATGCTTAATTTTTTTGTTGTTGTTTTCAAGCACTTATGAAAAGGACAATTTTGGGTTCTCCCCAAAGCTCCTAGTACCTGCATCTCCAGACAGTATTAAAATGTCCTGAAACAGGAGTGAGAGGGCTTGAAATTAAATACACTCTTCCTGCTGTGCTCTAACCCCAAAGGAGTTTGACCCTGGAGGAGAAAAAGTCTACTCTGAGCATAAAGGGAAGTGATGCGCCCCTTTCTGAACACATCAAGCTATGTGGATGAGGGTAGGGAAGGCCCATGGATCTCTGTAAGTGGCCTAGGCGGACCAGCTTTGAATTCTACAGATAATAACTAGGAACTGAGCCGTCTCCGTTAAAAATTATTTTAAAGTCTACGTCCTTTCATTTGAGAATACATAATTCCAGTTGATTCCTTCACTCCACACAAAGTCTATGCTCTCTTGTTCTGTGATTGTAAAGCGAGTTCTACCTCACCACACGCCAGTCTCATGTGCCCACTGACTTCTGCTATTGGGCTGACGAGTGTTCACCAGATGTGGTCAGATCCTGTGCAAACCATGTGAAGCTCCTGGGCCTGCAAAGAAAGAAACCGTATTTCTCACCTCCTTGCTCGCAAAGCTCCTCTTGGACCCGTGGAGAAATGCTCCATGTGTCAGGGATTAGCAACAGAGCCAAGAAACGCAACGTAGCGACCAACTGGTACATTTTTTTCTGTGATCAAATGAAGCTTTCCCCCCTTTGGCCAGCAGTGCCGGGGTGGAGCTGTTGTGGGCCTTGAAGGTTTTGTTCAAGAGCAAAGCCGCTGTGAATTTGGAAGAAACTGTAAAGCAATTTCCTAGAAAGAGCATGGCTAATTCATGTTTTGATTCCCTCCTGGGGTGGTGTGTGTTTTAAAGGCAACTTGGCCGGGCAGGCCATAATGGAGGGAGGACATTTCCACTGGAGTGGTTTTCGGCTCAAGAGCCAAAGCCGTCATTTGCCATCATCCGCCCTGTTTGTGTTTTCATATGAGCCAGAGCCTGTTCAAATTCCTTGTGGCCGATGATGACTGTACAGTGCTTTCTCTGTAGTGTGTAAAATGGCTATTGAGCACTGTGGCTATAAATCACTCAGGGAGCACATAACATTTTTTACTAGCTTGTTCTGTTCTGTGTTCCTCTTCCTAGGATATCAATAACAAGAGTGACAGCTGACATTTCTCTTGCTAAGAGGTCTGTCCTCAACAATCCCAGCAAAAGAGCAATCATTGAACGCTCCAACACCAGATCCAGCTTAGGTAAGATGCGCTCCTGCAGGCATGAGGTGTATATGTGGGGAATGTCTTATCCAGCTTGGGTGCTGTCCTGTATGGAGACATGTTGGGTATCTGTAGAGAGAGCCAGCCAATGGACAGGAGAGGGGCGAGTCTTGTAGCAGCTAGATCCCCCCTCTCAGTTCTGATCTATTAGCTATGCTGTAGTCTGGTGGGAAAAAGGCCTTCTCAGGATCTTCTGTTCAGTTGCTGCTGAATCATAGGAAACCACCCATTTCCTTTTCCCCAAATGTCACAATAAGGCTTCTGTCAGAGCTGACACACAGCTGGCATGAAAGGAAATGAGATGTTGAGAAGAGCATGGTATGATGTATTTGTGTGTACCTGTGTACCCAGAACCGCCATCCCTTTCAGTAGAAATGTTGACCGTCAGGATGAACGTGCAGGGAACCTAAACCTGTCTTTTCTGGGTGCTTTTGGAAAGCCTGTTAAATTCCTTCCATAAGGGAGAATAAAAGGTTGTAGGTGAGTTGGGGTGTGAATAGAAGTGAGTTACTTTGGGAAATATTGCCTGGGGAAAAAGTAGTAACCGTTTTGGAAGCTGAGTGAAGGAATGCATACCTGTAATCTCAGCACACGGGAGGAGAGTCAAGAGGATCAGGAGTTCAAGGCCAGCCTGGACTACCTAAGAGCTTGTCTCAACTTCAGAGTCAACTCAGGCATAAGGAGCATCACCAGTCCCAAAGATGCTGAAACTATGTTAGAATGTTCACTAAGGGCTTCTGACACGGGAGTTTCTGACTGTCCCAGCTTTGCCTGCCTGTAGCAGATTTATGAAGAAGCTTCCATTAGAGCCTCCTGAGAACCTGTCTGAGTAGCCAAGATTGTTGGTTTTCTTGAAGAAAATATACTAGGTAGATAAAAATGCCTTTGACTTCCTTGTGCCTATAATTTGCTTATTATGCTCTCTGTACATATTTTCTAAGCCCTGGGCTCACCCTGCTGTGTGATCCAGCCTTGCCCGATCTCCCCAAGCTCCACCGCTGCTTATGCTGCAGTGCCACAGGCCAAAGGCCTTGCGTTGTTTCAGCAGTAGGTATGAACCAACACGCCAGCTCATTGCTGCTGCAGAGTAAACAAAACCCAGGAATTTCTGAGTTACCTGAACCGAGACGAAGAATGAGTGTCCTGTGGGTTCCAGTCCTGGGGCAGTCCAGTTTGTGTTGCTTCCTTTTAGTTCCTTGGGAAAAATCGCTAAATGCTATTTTACATTATTTTATAATAACACGTGAGACTCGAAACTAAAACGGTAAATGATATAAGCTTGTTCCATCATAGTTCTGCCTAGAAACTCCTTTAAAACTGTGGCAGTCCACAGCACCAATAGAGTTCCTACTCCCACCCCACCCCCACCCCCATTCCTTCTGCTAAACTGGCTGCAGGAAAAACTGACTTTATTTTCAAATGCCCTTATTGAGAAAAATTTCTTTTTAAACTGTTTCTGACATGCTAGAAAAAAAGTGAATGTATGCTTATGATTACTAACAAATGCAGTCTATTACTTCATAAGAATTTGGCAAGGATTTCCTTAAATAGATATCCTGAAAGCTGGCCACTGGAAAAATTAATCTGAAGCCTTTCAGGACATTGGTGTTTTATAATGTGAAGGCGATGTGTGTTTTGACTCTTTGAATTCATATTTTTTTAAAAGATGTGCGTGTGTGTGTGCGTGTGTGTGTGTGCGTGCGTGCGTGCGTGTGTGTGTGTGTGTGTGTGCACTCTCATGTATGGGTGCCTAAGGAGGCCAGTGAGGTTGTCTTGCCCCCTGGAGCTGGGATACAGGTGGTTATGAACTGTCTAATGTGGATGCTAGGACCAAGCTTGGTCCTCTGGAAGGGCAGCAAGTGCCTTAACTATTTGGCCATTTCTCTCTCCTCCACATTCATACTTTTTAATGTAGATCATGCATTTAAATGTCAGTGATTCTCTGAGAACTGAGAAACTTTTGTTTTTATGCAAAGTCTTCTATTAGTAGAATCTAATTCAGATTTGGGGCATGACACACTACATCAGCTGATTACTGAAGTATATAAAGGATTTTTTGCTGGTTTTTTTTTTTTTTGAGACAGTATCAATACAGAATGCAGTCTGGGCTGAAACTCTCTGTGTTTCCCATGATGACCTTGAAGTCATGATCCTTCTGCCTTGGTGTCCCAAGTATTGGGATTCCAGGTATGCGCCACCATGTCCCACTTAAAGTCCTTTTAAATTTCAGAAAAACATGTACTTTGGTCATGTGTTTCAACATTCTCTCTCTCTCTCTCTCTCTCTCTCTCTCTCTCTCTCGCGCGCGCACACACACACACACACACACACACACACACACACACACACCAGAAGGAGAGTTTGTAAGCCACGCACAGGAGCACACACGTGTCCTCACAGTACTTGGGAGGTGAAAGCAAGAGGTTCACAACCAGCTTGGGCTACATAGCAAGGCTCTGTCCCAGAATAAATTAAAGCAACTGCATTGCTTCAGACACTTGAAAAGAACTAGCATTTTTATCTGCCCAATGTAGAAGACGCGGCTATGAGTCATCTGACTATCACATCCGGCCAGCTAGGTTGAGTCAAGATGGAGTACAGCATGTCAACATGATCTGTGCGTGTGTGTGAGCGAGAGTCTGTTATACTCATGTGTGTTATACTTATGGTAAATATCCCTTAGACAACTCCACAGTCTCTAAAGCTTAAATTGAGCTAGACTTGGAATTTTCTGGTTGTCTGAGGACACTCACAATTAGTGAGGATACAAAGGTGTGTGTATCAGTCAAATCAATACAGTTTTCAGGTGTTTTTTTTTTTCTTCCAAAACACAGTCTACAGGATGTTAAAATATAAACTATTGACAGAAATACTCAATGTCACTTTCAGTGGCTCTAATGTGTTTGCTAAATGCCGTTCTGATTAAAAGCAACCTCAAAATGGAACAACCGTGGCTATATAAATATCACCATGCTAGGCTGGGTGTACGAAGCAAGCCAAGAGAGCTGGCTTAAGTTCTTATGCCAATTGTTTTATTCTATGCACAATTTAATCTTTAGAAAAGAGTTTTAAAAAGAACAGACATTGTGTGGTGCACACCTTTAATCCTAGCACTTGGGAGCCAGAGGCAGACAGACCTTTGTGAGTCAGAAGCCAGTCTGTTGCCATAACAAGTTCCAGGATGGCCAGGGCTACATAATAGACTTTGTCTCAGAGAAACAAAAAAAAAAAAAAAAGATTTTGATAAACATGTCTATGAAAGTTCAGAGCCCTTTGTTCTACAGTACAGACACACACATTTGAGACCTTATACTATTTCTTTTTAATATAAATAATAATTATTGAGACTAACCATTGATTGTCTCCCCTTTTAGCGGAAGTACAGAGTGAAATTGAAAGAATTTTTGAATTGGCGAGGTCTTTGCAACTGGTTGTTCTTGACGCAGACACCATCAACCACCCAGCACAGCTTATCAAGACGTCCTTAGCCCCCATCGTTGTTCACGTGAAAGTCTCCTCTCCGAAGGTAAATCCTGCACTCCTGTCTATGGTTTAGAAGCTTCCTCCCTGAGGTTTGTTTGTGGGCAGAAAAATGTCTCCAGAGTCAGTTAATAGGTGCAATTTTAAAACAGTACTCAAGTTCTAGGGGCTTGAATCATCATCATCGCTGAGAAGCTCCTCCCTGCAGTCAGAGATGATAAAATCCAAATAAGAGCACAAAGACAGAAAACAAAAAGTGGACCCTGGCCTTTCGTAGGCTGTGCATTCCCTGTTGGCCAATTTCCTGTATAATATTGATTCTTGAGTCACCTACAGTCTCTGCCCAGTTGAGACAGGGAGGACATAGTCCAGAAAAATGCCTTCTGCAAGGTAAAAGATCACTGCATAAGCATCTCTCACAGAAACGCTGCAGCCCTCGTCGCTTGTGCATAGCTGGGTTCTTCAGGGAATATAGTGCTTTACTGGTTAAGCAGGAATGGTCACGTCAGCTACCAGAGTGACAAGAACAGAGGGAGATGGCCCAGACTGCACTCTTGATCTTGATGTCCTTTTAGTTTTACTTAGTTATTTTTTTAATCTCTCTCTCTCTCTCTCTCTCTCTCTCTCTGTGCGTGTGTGTGTGTGTGTGTGTGTGTGTGTGTGTGTGTGTGTGTACACTTGTGCGGTCACAGCATATATGTGGGGTCAGAGGACAACTTGTGGAAGTACGTTCTCCCCTCCCACCGTGTGGGCTCTCAGGACTGAACTCAGGTCACCAGGCTTGGTAGTGTTCATCTTTCCCCACTGAGCCCGCTCACCATCCTCCCTCTTGTTTTTAAATAGTGATGGTGTCCTAAAAATAGATATGAAATAGATACCCATGAGAAGCATTATCTGTCTATCTGCCTGTCTATCTGTTTTGCATCTGGGACCTCAATTTCCCCTCCCTCATCTCCTCCTGTCTCCTCCCCCAGCCTCCCCTCTACACCCCGCTAATCCTCCGAGAGACATCTTAACAGTTCTTTTCCAGCACCTCCTAGAATGTAGTTGGTTTGTCTAAATGCTTGCTTAACTCCCCACCCAAACCGTGGTCTTCTTCTGTGGTCAGAGAAAAGCCTAAAGAAGCTGTGGCCTGTTATAGTTCACAAGCTCTCAGCATCTTGGAGGGAACTACTCCTATACTGTAACTGTGGGACTCCCACCCGCCGCCGGATGACTCCGGGGTGTGATTAAAACACACTGGCCTTGCCTCAACCACTGGAAGTGTCCTTGACTCTAGCTGCTGGGGTACCAAGAATCCTTTGCAGCAAGGCTAAGGTCACCACTACCTCCACTGTCCCATTGCCGTGGTGTCTGGAAGTCCAGAGTCAGGGACTTGCGTGGACCTGTGCACTGAGGTATCAGAACTTCGTAAAGTAGCACGGTTGAAGTAGAGAGGGCCCCGCTTCAACCTAAACAAAACTAATGGCCAAAAGCAGCTATAGCTATGACCAAAGGCATAGATATCGTCTGTTTTATGTGTAACAGTGTTCCAACATAAATGTTTTACCTAGGTTTCCATGCCTGAAATAGTTTGATTAATATAAAATTAAACCAAATATCTTATTAGATATTGAAAAATATGACATACACAAGTGACTTTGATATTTATCTGACATGGAGGTAATGAACCAAAATATTACTGAACCAAATAACATCAAAATATTGACTCAACATAAACAAGGTCAGACCAGCCTTTTCTCTTTGAGAGGAAGTTCTGACATCTGAAAGAGACTTACAAGTCTAGGTGGGAAGTGAGGCTGTCTGTCACTAGGATCCCACAGGGAGCTAGGAGAGGATGGACATGCCCAGTCTACTCCAGGCCCACAGTGAGGTGGGCAGTGTCGCCATGGAGATTCTAAGTGTGTGATTGCTCACATTGTAGGGCCTCCTTACTAGTCCTCAGGGCTACATGCACTGTAGGAAACGATCCCGGTGTGTTTGGCATTCTTTCAACTCATTGACAATGAATGACTCGGGCTCCTGTTATCCTCTCTCAGGTTTTACAGCGGCTGATTAAGTCCAGAGGAAAGTCTCAGAGCAAACACTTGAATGTTCAACTGGTGGCAGCCGATAAACTGGCCCAGTGCCCTCCTGTAAGTAAAATCTTTTCTGTTTTAATGGCTGAAGGCTAGTTACAAGAGGGGCATTTTCCTTTCAATATCAGCCTGGTGGCTTTTATTCTACAGCAATGGTTCTCAACTTGTGTATTGTAACCCCTAGGGGGCTAGAATGACCCTTTCACAGGGGTCACCTAAGACCATGGGAAAACCGAGATATCTACATTATGATTCCTAACAGTGGAAAAGTACAGTTATGAAGTAGCCATGAAAATAAGTGTATGGCTGGTGGTCACCACAACATGAGGGACTGTATTGAAGGGTCGCATCAGGAAGGCTGAGAAGCACCGCTTCAGACATGGTGAAGGATTCTTGCCGTGAGCTGCTACTGTTCCATTGGGTGGGCTCAGGCTTCCGGGGCAGGATGGCATCTGCCTTGGCAGGAGAAATGAACTCAAAGTCTGAAACCCACTGTTCCCATTACTTCCTTGATTCCGTCGCCAGCGCTCGGGCGCCATGTCTAGTCATGGAACATTGTAAGAAAAGAGCAAAGTAAAATATGCCAGCTTGGCTTTGTTTCAGCTTTTCTGCCAGAAGATTCTGGTGGGCATGAAAAAATGTGAGGTGGAAGGTCAAAACTGGCTTGCATCTAGTGCATCTCCGTGTTTATAACAGATGGGGGTGGGGATCAATGGCGAGGTGTGAAAACTGTACGCTGCCTAGTGTCGTTGCTAGGAAACACCTGCAGGGTGAGAAGGTACACCTTGGTGGGCTGGGAAGGGTGGCTGTTCTCACAGGCTCTCGGGCCGTGGTGGTTAGTCATGTGTGCTTGGTCAATTGACTCATGATTTCTCTAAAAGAAATAACGTCTTTTTGGTTGCTTCACTAGATTTTTAAAAATATTTACATTAAATATATTGTATTAAGTATAGGATATAAATATGTTTATATTTTATTTATATTTATGCTCTGTGAAAGCATAGGATCCAATTCAAGTACTTAGAGAAGCAACACAGCTTGGCTATTCAAGCACAGACGAGTTAGATAAACCTGAGCAAGATGCCTGCTGAGCAAGGTTAGGGTAAAAAATTCAAGAAGCACGTGTGTGCGTATGTGGAAACATCCTTAGAACAGTGCCTGGCACGTGGCCTACGCTGTCCATCTAGTCTGCTGGCCTCCATCCGTCTTGGGGTCACTGTTTTATGGCACTTCCCTGTCATAGTGGGTTTGTAATAAATGTGAGCAGAGGGAGCGACAAGTGAATGAAAGGCTGGGCAGGCCTGAAAGGCAAGAACAATGATACATCCTTTCGTTAGATATGTAACAAGGGCCAGGGGGCTCCCTCGATGCTTTCTACAGATCGTCTGTAATCCTTGCTATGAGCTTGTAAAATACAGCCTAAGCCCCTCTTTATCACTGGGACAACTGAAGACAGAGCCCGTCAATGAGTTTGTTGAGATCATTCGGCACATTAAGATTAGGAGTGGATCTGTCTGACTTCAAAGCGGTTTCTTCTTCTCCCCAGCACAGCCTCCCTCCCCTATGCACAGCTATTAGGTTACCACCCACAGATAAATCCAGAGCTCTATGTTAAGACGTTTAAAGCCACATTGCCTACTAAGGAAGTTTCTTGCAGGGTGGAATGTTTGATTAAACACCGAGAAACTATAAAAGCATATGCCATCCGACCTCTGGCCCTGTAATGTTTCACGGTTGAAGAGAAATGATCTTTACTGGACAGCTACTAAAAGCCAGGAACTGTGCGATTCTTTCTGCTGTTTAGGACAATCTTAGAATGGTAGTTATGATTGGTATGGCATTTTAGGAAGCAGTCACTAAAAATGGAAATATAATTATAAGAGATTTATTGGGGGGAAACATTTGTTTTTAAGTCAATTTATTAACCCTTGGTTGAAATAATTTCTGGAGACAATAACTTATGTCCTATTAAAATTGAGGTATTTGAGCTGCTGAGGACATTCCTGAAGTTTCTAGAGTCAAAGTGTGGGCTTCAGCAGCCCTAGTAAGCAAGGTCCCACCGTGACCTATGCACAGTATGTCAACTGAAGGAACAAATAATGAAGCGAGGATCATGGTTCGATGTGGCCACACTGTGAGCAAGAGCAATGAGATCGGTGGGTCCCTATGAAGTCCACCTTCAGGGCGCTGGCCTACAGTGTAGGCTTCAATAAGGGGCACGAGTTCCTGGTCACGGTGTGGCCCTGCCCTTCATTGACACATCAGCTTCTCCATCTGTCCTACTATCTGTCACCTGTGAAAAGCCTCCACTCAGAGGACAAGCTCCTCCTCTGACACCTGGACTTCAGCCTTTTCCTCCACCAGCAAAAAAAAAAAAAAAAAAATCCCTGAGAAAATGCCAATCTCTTGGAGTCTGTTGTTTCAGGGGTCTGATAGCCCAAGAGAAGTGTCTCTTTGGCACGCCTTTCTTCAAGCCAGGAGGATTACAAGGGGTGTATGTTACCTATGGTGTATTGCTACCTCTGAGATAGGTGGGACCAAAAATAGATGCATTCACATACTTACATATAACAACACTGTGGTCCTGTCCCCAGGTTAGTAATCTCAACCTGCCAGGGTACTGGGGGGACAGCCCTCCTCTATTATATTAGCAGGACAGACACATCTGTTTTATTCTGAATAGCTGGTCAGATAGCCTGGCACTGTCAACAAGCAGTCTGAGAAAGTAGTTACCTTGTGCCTTTCTAACCATGTGATATTATGTTCATGGACTTTGTCATTCTGGGAAAGAATTGTGCATTCTATTTTGGCCCACGTGAAGAAAATTTCAGATGACAAAAACTAGGAGCAATTTAAAAATGTTTCTGCATTTATCCCTTTACTTCAAGACCGTAATTATCATCGTCACCCAGAGACTGGTTATCACTGTGGCATTTTAGTTCTGTTAGGAGAGGCTTCCTTGCCGTCTATGTTTCCAGTCTGCCAACTCAGCAGATTCTACTAGCAGGGTCTCATCCTGCAGTGATAGTACAGGCAGCGGGTTTTAGAAAGAGGCCTCTCAATGGACACTGAAGAAAACTTAACTTTCTGTAGCTAGAAGGGTGATTCTAGTGCCAGGGACTATTGGCGTGAAGGAGAACCACACAGAGTTTCCTACAGTATGCATCTTACTATTGGGCTCTATACGATGATGTCAGCTGATATTGGGAAAAGAATGCTGGATCCAAAGATGTTTGAGAGGATGCTAATGCAAACACAGGTCATTGGGTTTCTTTGTACAGGAACCCCATTTTGCTAACATGCTCTTTGTAGCTCCTGGAGAATAGAGGATATCCCGTGCTTCTCCGTAATGTGTCTGCAAGTCTTTTTCCACAGAACAGCTTGTGGGTTTAATGTTTCATGGAACACTTAAAAGGAAATACAATTCTGTTCCACTCTCCTCATTTTACAAGTGAGGCCACTGAGACCAGGAAGAGGTGAACTGCCTTCCCAAAAGTCAGAGACCTTGGGCAATGATAGCTTATCTATATGTCTTAATCCATGGAGGCTCTTGAGCAGTGGTTCTCAACCTGTGGGTCACAACTTTTGGGGAGGTCAAATGACCCTTTCATAAGGGTCACCCAAGACCACTGGAAAATGCAGATATCTACATTATACTTCATAGCAGCAAAATTGCAGTTATGAAGTAGCAATGAAGATAATTTTAGGGTTGGGGTCACCACAGTATGAGGGACTCTATTATGGGTCACAGCATTAGGAAGGTTGAGAAGCACCGCTCTAATAGTAAATGCAATGTGTTAGTTACCACATCTATTAGGGCTTCTGTTGCTGCGATAAAAACACTATGACCACAAGCAACTTGGGGAAGAAAGGGTTTGTTTCATCTTAAAGCCGGTCCCCCTCATCCAGGGAAGTCAGGGCAGGAATTCAAGTCAGAAACCTGGGAAAATGACTAATGCAGAGGCCACAGAGGAACCCTGCTTGCTGGGTTGTTCCTCTCTGAACCTGCTTTCTTCTAGCACCCAGAACCATTGACACAGGGCTAGTACTGCCCACAGTGAGATGGGCCTTCCACATTCATTGTCTATAAAGAAAACCTGTGAAGGCATTTTCCCAGTTGAGGTTCCTTCTTCCCAAATGATTCTAGTTATGTTGATTGACATAAACCAGCCAACATATTGCCTGTTGTCCAGAAGAGAGAATACTGGGTTCCATGGGTGAGGCTTTTACTAGAGGGGTCAATAAACATTTTAGTTAAGGGCCGGATAGTAACTAATTTAGGTTTGTTGAGGCTAGCGGGGTCCTTTCTAAAAGAATTCAGCTTTGCCTTTGAGTAGCCATGGCCATCATACATGTAAACCATGGGGACAGCTGGACTCCATTCAAATTTTATAGAAACAAGAAGTAGACCTAATGCAGCCGAAAGAAACAGCTACTCTTCTTCTAGGCCAAGTTTTGTTATCTATTAGTGCAAAGCAAATGGCCCTAAACATGGCGACTTCAAACGGTGGCTAGTAGGTAGCATTTTGTCTGATAACTGACTGATCTCTCAGCAGGGTTGACTAGAGGGACTCAGCCAATTCTTGCTTTCCACTTGGTCCAGGGCCTTTGTCATGAGCTCTTTTCTGTAGGGACATGGGTTCTCACATTGTACCTTTATGATAAAATACAGTCTCCTAAGGACTCATCTTAACCCAGCCCAGCATCTCTACAACATTCCACTGATCAGAGTGCTCACAGCAGCTACCCAGCTTCAAGGAGAGGGCACAAAATGTTCCATCTCAGTACATGGAGGACCAAGGAACCTGTGGCCATTTAAAAATATGCTCTAGGCAGAAAAATATAACTGGGAAGATACAGAGAGGCAAACAGGAAAGTGTCCCCAGGCACTGGGATGCAGGAGCCATCGAAGATTCTTTATTGTATGGTTAGTCGGGTTGTGTTTTCTTGGTGTGTGTCTACACACCATATTTTTTTTTTTTATTTCAGTTGTCTTCCCTGGGTCTTGGTATCTTTTCCTTCTCAGAGAAGTGGAGAATAGTGCATTTTAAGAACTT